CCTCATCATCATTTGAAGACCTCAAAAGGCGGTCAATCTGTCTTTTTAATGAAGCGGGCATCGGGATTATGAAATGGTTTATTTTTGGATGAAGTTTTTGAAAAAGATACAATGATCAATTTCAAATTCATACCACTGTGGATCTGGTTGATCCACAGTGATTTATTGCTGGTAAATCATACGGTAAAGCACCTGATAGTGGATTTCAGGCGTTTACCAATTTAGCTGTTTCACGCATGATCAAATTTTGCGCTCAGGAACGTAAAAATTATGATAAAACACCGTCATGATAGTGGATGCTCTAAGTGACTTTTGATACCGAGTCATGAGGTGTAATTTTTATGGTTTTAGACAAGTTACATATATTTACATGTGTGTTTGTTAGTCTGTGGCCTGCACACAGGGCTCAGGGCTGACACATGATAGCTATACTCATCTCCTTCCTATCTTCCTTGGATCCACTACTAACTGGTTTTGCATTAAACAGTTGATGTAAAGTTTGAATAATCAGATGGTTCAGAGCGCATTAGAAAGAATTTCTACAGTCCAGTTTTCTTGCTTGAATTGCAGGACCTATCTGCAACTCATCATCACTTGCCACCTTAGGGAAGATTTTCACCTGTTTCATGGATCATTGATGTACTCAACATACCCAGGAAGGTGTGTTGAGTCATTCAAAGAGTCTCAAAAGGGAATATTGTAGCTGATGGTGGCTTGTTATCAGGTATCTTTTGTGGGCTAGCTCTACCTGGAGTTTGATCCTGGTACATAGACAAGAATACACACATCTCCTCATTTGCTGCATAGTAAAACTGAAAACAGCAACATCTCAAGTGCAGGTGAAAAAGGAGGAGATCTAGCACCATGATGGCATTTGTATACAGGTCTTATCATCTAGTCTCAACCACATGCACTCTACAAAAGTTGAAATTTGGCAGCTCAAGTCAACCCACATGCCTCAAGAGGCTTGCAGCTGCTGAAAATTCATCTTTGGCATAATTGAGGGTGGTTTGTGCCAGTGATGCAGGCATGAGTCCCATTGTACCCAGATCAAAAAGTGGGTACTCCAGATTTGATGACTCGCATGCATGTTTGAATACATCACACCACACTCACCCACTGGCACAGGAATCAATAGGTCTAAAAATTGTTTGAAGAAAGTTGTAGTTACTGAGCTGGCAACTTTCTTGGACTGCAAGTATTGTTTGCAATGCATTCAAATTAGGTTTGCTGAACAGCCTTGACCAATTACAAAAGGAAATGAGACATAGTAATTTATAGAGTCTGTGTATGCACATATTTAAGATCCATGATTCATCTCATCTTCCCTATTATAAAATTGAACTCTCTGATATTATTTTGTTGTCTCAACTGCCTTCACATTTCTTGGAGTATATAGTATTATCAACATATGAGCCGTTTTATGAAGTACACAAATTCAGAAACAATATGGGAAAATATAGGCTTAGCTAGTGTCTCTTTGTGATTACATAGACATCAACTGGCTGATTCAGATATTCCATAAGTCTTGTTGTTCAGACTTGGAGAAACATTTTTTCATTGCAAAGGTGACATTCATTATGTATCAGTATCCATTAGTACAGAAGGGCTCATGAATACAGGACAAAGAGCAATAAAGTATTTCATGTACAGTCAATGCCATAAAGGTTGAAATCAAGAAGATTTAAAAATCAAGAGGTGGACTGTGTGCCACCTGTGACAGGTATCAAAATTACCTGCCAGATTGAACAACATACAGTGTCAAATCCTTTAACAACCCCAGGCTCTTTGTTCCTTGGTAGTGCAGCAGTCAGAATCCCTGATTGTGATGTGCGACGTTGACGATGATTCCCATGTTTGACTCACTTTCCTACTTTTTTTTGCCACTGTTTTTGTCTACAATCAAAGATGGAAAGAAATGCAAGCAAACCAAAAACAGCGTAGTTTGTCCATTCTTTTGTTTTATGACAACAAGCAAATCAAATATGAAAAACTTCTTAAAAAGTGTGTTGACTTAAAAGAAATCCACTGGGGTTTGAACCCGGAGATGTACACCTTATACCAGATGTTTGTACCCATGTGGAGGGCATTCATCCACCTCACTACATGCAAACTTGCACTGACCCCGTATTGACCCCCTGCTTTGGCAAGCCCCCCTTTGCTTTTGTGTGGTGTCAGCTCAAGGTGAGCTCTGACCCCGGATATCCGTCAGGTATCCGACGGAGCATCCGACGGATCTGGAGGTCGGATGGGTCCTTGGAGCCATCCGGTAGCCGGATACTCCGGCCGGTTTGGTAGTCGGACAAGGCAGCAAAAAAAGTTGATCCTCACCGGATATCCGGCAGATATCCTGTATTACATGTAGGTGTTTTTCAAAACAATGTAAGAGACAAACAATCGAAAAAACAACAGAAACAAAGAGAGAAAAGAAGAAAAAAAGAAAAGCACAGGGAAAGTATTCACTTTCCTCACCCTCACTCTCAGTAAGACTACAAAAATTGAAACAAATCAACATTGACCCGCACCAAAAACCCAAATTTTAATTTTGGATTGTGCAATTCAATCCAATCAAATCCCATTTGATGATTGGAACCGGAAATCTAATTTAGTTTGATATGTAAGTACATAAAAACAAAAAAATCAAGATTTGAAAAAAGATGGGCACAGAGCTCCTTTTTGGGCTTACCGCCGGATATCCGGCAGATCTCCGGTTTGACTGTTGGATTCAGGATTTCCAAGAAAAAAACTTGGCTGGATATTCTCCGAGTTGTCCGGTTAGCAAAAATAACTTACGGTCCGGTTGTTGGATGGAGCAGAACTCGCCGGATAGTCGCCGGAGCGCAGGTTGAGTGTCAGCACAACCCAACATCTGCGGTGTCAGCACCTTGTGTGTAGTGACTGCACCAGAAGTCTCTTTGAGACCTTTGTGGGTATGCTGTTCAGATTAGCAATTCTATATGCATATTTAATACCTGTCACAGGTGGTGCACGGTCCACCTCTCAATTTTCAAAACGCCTCAATTTCAAGCTTTATGAAATTGACTGTACAAATTGGAAGGAAATATAGTGTGGGAGCTTTTTTACATAACAGGGGTCTAAGAATGATTTTTAACTAGGGATTGGAGTGGCTTTGTTCTATGAGCCAGGAGTTTTAACAGCAAAGTTTTCTTTTAGTAAAACAGTGACACAATAAGAATTGGTGAAAACTACAAATACAGTAGGGGGTTTCAAGTCAATAAATTTATGGTATTTTACAGTCCAACAAGTTGTCCGATGTTGCAAAATATACCATAAATATTAGGGGGTTTCAAGTTAAAAAAATGCCTAAAATTCAAATGTCCCTACATAAAAACATAGCTTATAACTTTCAAATTTTTAAAAAACTTCTAGAAAGCCCTTCCCAAGAAGCACATTCTAGTGTTTATTCTATAAAAAATGAATGAAAATTCAAGGGTTGGGAGGCAAAAGTACAAACATTTTCAGGCAGTTTTTGGCCAACTTGAAACCCGTTTAAACAATCAGGACACCTTTTTAGGTGTCCCAAATAGGGCGGTTCAAGAAGAGAAACGCAAACAACGTGGTCGCCGAGTTGCGATCAGCCTTTTTAGGGTTTCTCAATCCTTAGAAAGCCTGATTGCAAAATGACAAATGCTCTAAATTTGTGTTTTATGGCTTTGTAAATTACTGTTGCAACAATTTTTTTTCAGCTTCTTTTTCTTGTTCTTTTTTTTTGTTTTTGTACAGAATCCTTTGTTAATGAAAGAGGAAAACCTAGAAAAAAACAATTAAGAGAAAAAAAAGGTAAAATTGTTGAAATCCAGGAACAAAAAACAACAAGAAGCAGAAGTGATTTTTTTTGGCTCAATTGTCCCTGTCTTTTCAAAAATTCAGGGACATGATTTGAAAATTTTAAGGCTGATTACAAGATCGCAAAACCGTGAACCACCTTTAGAGGTGGTTCACGTGGTTCACGACCTTAAAATTTTACATTTATGAAGCCCGAACAAAATGTAAAATGTACAAAAGGGGTGTAAAAGCCCTTCTTGAACCCCCCTAATGCTGTTGACCGTATATTTGCAGAAAAATAAACACTGTCAAATTTAAAAAACTTGTCTGTTTGCTAAAGAGTTTCACAAACAAATTTTGACTCGAAACCCCCATTGACACCGGATTATCCAGTGTAAAATGGTCGATGTGAAAATACATGTCCCCTTTAAATAAGTGAAAGACTAGTATACCTCGCAGAGACGGACATCTGGTCGGAGCAAGGAAGTTCGTTGTCTACGCGTAGATTTGCGATGCTCTTTTTGAAATTTCTCGCGGCTGCATACACTGACTCGGCCTCAAGTCTTCGGGTTCGAGTCTTCACTCTGGCTTGTAGTACAACAATCTGAGTTGTAGCAAAGATGGAACAGACGCATGTGCCGGTCTGGCCATCAAATTTCGAAACATCCGCGTTGAGTCCCACATGGCTCTGAAGTGCACCTTCCATGTGTGGTACTAGGTGGTACTACTACTATCGCTTATTGTTGAAACAACTCCGGAAGTCCAGAATGACTCTTGAGGCAGCTTGAGGAGACTCAGTACACCTGAAATGCTACGGTTAAAAACTTTACCCTTATGCAGTGTATTATCAAAGTTCATAGGAAGTGGTCTAACGTTACATGCTAGAAGTGCTGAATGAAAGCCTGGTAGAGCCTCATCATGTAAATACGTTCACAATTCAACACAAATGCTTATCCTGACTAGATCATAATCTTCAGTGTTATCAAGCAATTGTACTCGTATCTTTGATGGGTATTCGTGATTAGTTCTGCTGGGCAGGATCACTATTCCGTATCTCAAGCCTAATCACCATAGTGCCGGGTTGTGTCATTGAAATCCATGCATGTTTGAGCGTCAGTGTCTGCTTGCTGCTAGTTTTTGACCAACATAACTGACACACCAGTTATAGTGCTCGTATGCAAGATCATGAGGGTTTTTCAAGTGATGGCAACTCCATGTCATCAGTTAGCCTTGACTACCTTTTTAGCAAATTCGAGCACGATTCTGACCTACTCTCACTTCATATCGCGATCAGCGCAGCTTTAGTGAGAAATCAACCGATTCGACAGCGTCGCAGAAAAATGTACAGCTCATTATGCTCGACTCTAAGTATGACTCTCATCACCATATCAGTCTTGGCAAGGCCGATGTATTTAAATGGAAATCTAGACACTACATTAAGATTAGGAACATCAACCCCAGGGATCATCACAACATCGAAACTCGACAAGATAGAGCCATTGGAGTTAACGCTTGCACTGCCATCTGGAATCACAACAAACAACGAGGTAGCACGGGAAACAGGGGAAACACATACACTCTCGGGCACGTTAGGACCCCAAGCGACAGCTCTGTTTGAACATTCATCTCAACAAAACAAACCCTTCAGCATCACACCAGATTTTATAATGTGGCTGCATCACCTTCAGGACTTGGGTTCAAGAAACCTACCAAATCATGGAGTCCCAATTTATAGCTTACCAACATTTGATGGTTCAAGATCAAATGTAATTCAAGGCTTTCAAACACATGACTCATCTGTAGGAAACCTCGCGAATGTCATGAAAGATCAGCGTCACTCAATCATTGAACCTGCTTCTTTTGAAAATCGTCCCATATCAAGGGTCCCAGAAGTGACGGAAGATTCAAGAAAATATAACATTGGAAATAATAAAGGTCTACCATCCAAAGGAAAAGAAAAGGTTGTGATCTCCCCTGATGGTCGCAAAATCTACACCAGGATACGTGAAAGTATGGTCAAGTTGTCAGAGTTGGGAACAAAGGAACTTGAGGCAGAGGCTGGAATTCAAGGAGAAATGGTGAAGTTGTTTAGTGATTTGAAAGCAAAGTTGAATCAGAGAATGAAAGAAGATGGATCTACTGGCATGAAATTACATGTACGAAGAGCATTTGATCGAGCCCAAAAGAAATTGATAACCACTTTTCTAGGATTCCTGATCAAAAATCATAGCCATGCAGGAGGCAAAGGCGATCGGGAGGTTCTAATTTCAGGGTGGGAATATTTGAAGAGCTACATGTTGAACTGGCAAGATGCAAATCTTGAAGTCGTCCTCAATCTCAAAGACCTTAGGGTAGATGATCGTGTTAGAGAATGGACTCCAGACAAGGTTCTGGCATATCTGATGTGGATGAATAGAAGGCACGCCTTGCCGTCCAAGGTGTTATACAAGTTTGTTTCTGGCTGGAAAAATTGAAATAAATCATGATACTCTTTTTGCCTCATGTTTTTCTTCTATTGGCCTCAGGCTCGATATCTTATTGATCGGTTCCGTTAATTGATTTATTGGATTCTTATCTTGTGACAAAAATCTGCAATTTCGAATGGGTTTAGCTCAGTTAAACTTACATCGTTGATCTGGTCGCACTAGTCGAAGAAGTCCAACACCTGGCACCAGTGCGCATTATATCACAGTCGTCATAAGCTGAATCATCAAGAGATTTAACCTTGAATCTTAACACAGCTCTCCTCCTAACTTAACACGACTTCAAGTTCAAGCACTATCGCAGGGCTCTCTTAACCTCGCGAGCTCGGTGATCTGGATAGGGACTTGTGACTAATCGCATACTTTTGGTGGGCGATCAGGAACAACCCGAACAGCCCCGCTTGCGTGAATCTTCTATAGACCCCTTCTGTAGTCGAGACACTACACTATTTCTGAAGAGAACATATTGTTTAGAAGTTCAGAATTAGCATCCTTGGTCTTTGAACGAGGTTCATTCATCCAAGACGAGTCCTCTTGCGAAAGAAACAGGTTCAAGTGAGATATTTCGAGTGCAAATCAAGGGAAGTTACCAGTCAAATCCAGTGAAAACTGATTTAACTCGCTTCAACTGGCCTCGGTTGTGAGTACGTCGAAGGTAGGAATCCCCAATCCATACCACCATCTTCTTCTATGGCTCGGCATCATTTGACGTATATGAGACTACGTGAGACGTACACTAATTTTCAAATCGAACTGGGTACAGCTAGCTACCGTTAAAACAATCACAGGGGTTGATTGAGAGGAAGTGGTCATTTTGAGGTGGTGAAAAAGTCACCACGCCAAACGCAAATTTGTCCTGCGCGACCACCAGGGCCGGCCGATTACTTAGTCCGAAATCCCTCACCAGACACCCAAGCTCGCGAGGAAGAAGTGTCAGACTGACTTAGGTACGTCATGTAGGCTCTCCTCAGCCCTTCAAGACCGAAGACCATTTGAGAATACACTCCGCAAGAGCCTTGAAATCTCGTGAGCGGTACCTACAACTTTTAAATTGACTTGTGGGCGTGAAATCTACTGTGATGGGCTTTAAGATTATGCTAAGAAAAAAATCCCATACCGTGGCGTCCATGAAATGCCATGGGTTCGTAGAGGAATGACTGCAACCTTTCAGCAGACTTATCCTGAGTTTCTTTGCCGCCCTTCAAGTTCAACCACCAACAGCGAAGTTTGTTTCGAACTGTGAGACGCTCCCAAGGGTAATCATGTGTCGTGGTGACATTTAGGATGTTCTTTCCGGAGCAAGACGAGTCAGATGAAATTTCTCGCAGCAGTCTGAATACACATCGCCATCTTTGAGTTCAAAATTTTGATTTTGATCCTCCTCCAGAGTCTTCACTCTGACTCTAAGTTGATATCAAAGGTGATGGAAAGGAGAACAAGACCTGCGTTCCGGTCTGGCCATAGTCTTCAACAAGGTTTGTTAGGTGTATGTTCCAAAATGCAGGGAAAACGCATTAGCCAAAGACACCAAAATGCTTGCATTCGCGTTAAGTTCCAAATGGTTCTGAAGCGCTTCCTCCACGAGTTTTGATGTGTAGTTCTGACTGCTTATGTTTCAGTCTAAAATTTTCAAACATCCCTCGAATCCCACTATGCAGACCTGAGATGCTTCTGCTATGCAATTTGACCCTTACAACACAGTGTTCATATGAGTATAGACTCTTTCCATCTGTGCAATGATGCAACCTCATCATCTCATGCTTAATACGACCATCTCCAAATTACAACTTGATGCCAAGTAGATCACAATATCCAGTCTTATCAAACATTCCGCGCTTATTTGTCATTGATGATTAGTCCTGAGCAGAATTATTTTCTAATGGAGCCTTTTGAAGCTGTCCCGTAAAAGTGCGTTTCTTGTCATTAGTGAGTTCATATCTGTTTGAGAGTCAATTCCTAGTGGCTGATAGCCTCTACGCCAGGTATTTGATCCATATATCATCGTGCCATATGACACTGCATCAGGGGATTTCCGGTGTCATCCTGCAGTATCAGAAAGCTTATGAACTTTAGTACTGAAACGTCCATAGACATAATTGAAAGGTTATTGAAGCTGTTTAGTTGTGACTATCATTTTGGGAAACTCGCATTCAAATCTCATTATTGTACACTTTACAGTGCTCATGAGAAATCAGCCGGTCCAACAGCATTGCAAAATCATGTACCATTCAGTATGCTCGACTATAAGTATAATTTTCATGATAATATCCACAATCTTGACAAATCCAATGTATCTCAATGGAAAACATCTAGATACTACATTAAAATTGGGACAATCAAACTCTGGGACTGTTTCAATCAAGCAAATTGGCATTTCAGATTCATTGGAATTAGCACTTGCACCACCACTTGCACCACCATCCACGACATCAAAGCTTGAAGACACAGATTGGCTGAGATTAACACTTGCACCGCCATCTGGAATCACAACCCAAGATATATCGCCAGGAAAACATGAACTCTTCAGCGCATCGGGAATTCAAAGGAAAATTCCGTTCAAAAGGTCATCTCAACGAAAACAATTCTTCAGGATCACACCGGATGTTGAGAGGTGGCTGGGAGGAAAACACGTACAATTCTCAAAGCCAGTACCGCATCTGCTCGGGGATCATCGCAGCGCCATGCCACATAAACATATGATGGTCGGATCTTTTCCATCCAGTTTATCAACGCATATCATTCAGGACTCTAGTTCAAGATATATACCAAGATCCCATGGTTCAGGATCGAATGCAGTCCAACCTTTTGCACCACGCGAATCAACTGCAGAAGATTTAGAAAATACCTTGGAAGATCGACATCACTCGATCATTGACCCTGCTTCTTCAAAAAGCCATCCCATACAAATTTCAGGGGATCAAGACGAGACAAAAGTACCAGAAAAACATAGCACTGAACATGGAAGACCTCCTCCGTCCGGAGAACAACAAACTGATATATTTGATCCCGACGGTAGTGAAACTTACACCGCGATACGTGAACTTATGGGCACGTTGTCAAGGTCTGGAAAGGAGATAATTGGAGCACATATTGAAATTCGTGCGGACATTATCACCTGGTTTAATACTTTGAAAGTTGGGTTGATACAACAAACAACAGAATCGAATAAACTCAATGGCCTAAGCGCTAGGGATATTCAAAGAGCAGTTGGCCGAGCGTACTACAAATTGACCAACCCTTTTCTGGGATTCTTAATCAGGTATTACAAACACACAAGAGAATCAGGCAACATTGATCCGAGTCTTTTAACTGGGGGGTGGAAATTTTTGAAGAGGTACATGGTTCAATGGCATGATGTGGATCTTCAAGCCGTTCTCAAACTCAGAGGAAAGCTTGAAGTAGATGATCGTGTCTGGAAATGGACTCCAGAAGAGCTTCTGGCCCATTTGATGTGGATGGATAGAAAGGAACACTTACCTACCAAGGTGTTATCAAAGTTTATATCTGAATGGAAAAAGAGCGAGGCATTATGATTCTCTTCTTTGCTAGACCGCTTCAGGCATATGAAGAATTTTTGAAGTGACTCTCAACTCAATATCATGTTTTCTCGGTGTCAGAATCCTCTATGTTTTCATTGGATTCTTATTTCATGAAATAAGAGTGATGTTTTGGTCTGAAGACAAGTACAGATTTTTCAGATGATAGGGACTTCATGTATGAAGAGACGCTGCGTTTTCTGATCAGGAAGCCAAATCGATTAATCAAATGATGTTGTATAGTCTTACCCATGGTATATGCGTATGAGACTTGAAATGGATTTAGGCAAATATATTAACCAGTTAGATCATTGGGGAGGATAGTCGATGTCATTGGAGGCGATCATTAAGAGGCGCGGAGGAGCATACCTCGACCTTTCTTTCATAATGCCCCGGGTCTGACTCACATCTGTTCGAAGGGACAGTAGGTTGTTGTTCAAGCCGTCACAACAGTGATAACTCATGAGCTAGATCCTGCTCGATCGGTGTGACAGTGAGGGATTAACTTCCCAATATCGATTTAGAACAGCTCACTTGAATTCCTCGTGACCAAACTGTGACCAAGACTCATTTCATCATCTACTCAGTAAGAGTCGAGAGTCAAGAGCCTTAGATATTTAACCTCCTTGAAAATTTGGATTCTGCACAGACAATTTGTCAGCCTTGCATGTACACGCTGTGGATGGACATAAAGTGATACCCTTGCGGCAGTTTTGCCAACTCAAATGCCGAGGTATCGAAAGAAAACAGTTGGGAATCGTCCAGATGTCGAGGAGGTTATATCCTTTATCGTTATAAGATCATGTCACATAAATTTCGTTTGTTTCGTCATGCCCAAAGTCCTATAGTCCAGGCCGGTTTGAAAAATTGCGATTGAACTCCATGAGAAATGATGGAAATGATCAAATCTGGCAGACCTTGCTGAACCAGGCAGTACCTTCGTTGTGCGGCTCGCCACACGTATCCCAACATGATATGAATCGATTTGATCTTAGATGCTGGTCGTATTCCTCGGGAGTGGACTTCAGCCAACCGAAGCCCGAATGCATTCACTGACTTCCCCGGGCGTTCGCGCTAGTCTTACTCAGGCAGTCTCCAGATGCCGGTGGTGGCTTCTAGCTCGCTGGGGTTCGATTTGAAAGTGGTTTGCGCCTTGAGTCAACGTAGTATCGAACAGGCCTGCCGGACGCTTTGAAACTTTTTCGTTCGACGCTAACAGACCTCACAAAATCGACATATATGACGTCATTTCGGTCTTCTGTGACTTCCTGGATTAAAGGATTGCTCGGCTGACTTGAAGAAGTCATGATTTTTTCGACATCGCTTCAGCTGAGTTGCATACACTACCAACACTTTCAGAGTCACTTCTTTTTGGTGAATTAGATCTTGGAAGAACAAAATGGAGGAGAGTTCAGTGTACTTGGATTCGGAACTTGGAAGTGACGCGCGGCCATTTTTGTGTGCGAAGGCGTTGACGCATTCGGACCACATCACCAGTACACGGCCTCGGGGTCGGGTCGGGGTCGTTCAGGTTTGGGGTGCATCATCCAATTCCAAGTTCAAGTTCCTTTGTCGATCGCTTCAACCTTTCTTACCAATCAGATCATATACATTTAGGGTGTTCAAACCTGTGCAAGAAATGTGCAAGACCGACGTGCAAGATCCGTGCAAGATCCGTGCAAGATTTTTTGCACTAATCTTGCACAGTAATTTTTTTGACAACCCGAGTTATTGTGTTCCAAACCGTGCAAAAACCGTGCGAGACCGACTCTTGCAAGTTTTGTGCAAGATCCGTGCAAGTTCTATTCATATCTTGCACAGAACTTGCACAAAACTTGCATGAATTGATTTTGAGGTTTGAACACCCTAATTATCTTCTGTTACTCCAGACGCTTTTCTAAGCTTGATATCCAACGCGCCATGTCCGAAACACGCCAGTGAAAAGCACATCTTGCACCAGTCGATTTCATCATCTTAAAACTAAAAAGATGCAATCCCGACTTGCCACTCTCGGTACTGTGAGTCCCGGTTTTTGCTTCCTCCTCCGGTCCTGTTACATTGGACAATGGAGAGCAATGGAGACTCATTATATATTCGCCGATACCCCTTGCTTTTCGCTCCTGTCTATCTTGATTCGACTTTTCATCCTGATTTCAAAGAACTATTCATGTTATGACGTCGAACAACTCTCATATGTTGATACACAGTTGTCAAACACCAATCACATGTAGTTGCTTTTTGTCATTGCCTTTGTCGTCGAATTGTGCAAACCCCACCAATTCCCTCCTTTGATCAATTGGATGCAATGTAAGGTAGTCGATTCAACAAAACAATAACCATCAATTATGAGCCAAGTAGAGTCAATGATTCATTGATACTGCCAGGTCACATGTAGTATGACACTCGAGCTTTTCCATGGTAGTCTCAAACATTGAGTGACTTTTGGCTTATTCACACTTGATTTCAGCAAAAGACAGCTAATGTTTAAGAATTGAGATGAACAGATTTTACCGCCAATTGCAGCACCTTTTCTTGGTGAAGCATCACCACTATCCTTCTCCTTTCTTTGCTGTTACTAAAGGAGGTGAATTTATTTTGTGCTTTTAAATCTTGTTTGACACATGTACCTCCTTTTGCTGAAAGTAAAGCAAACATGGCTGCATGGAAATTGTCTGTTACCTCATGTGTCAGGTAGCTCTTCCCCTCCACACTTGATTTAAATTTCACTGCTCTCTTTGCCTCTGCCTTCCAAGAGAGGCATATAAAAGGTTGACCTGTTTTGCACTCTGATCCAATCTGTCAACCCCTTCCCACATATTTGTTAACTGTTTATGAGTAAAGGAAAACAAATGTGATGTCAGATGAACCCGCCAAGGTGGAAAAATTCTTTACTCATCTGGAGGCAGGTTTGCAATTCTTTCCAAATGTTGTGCACTTGATCCAAGGAGTGTGTACTTTGTCCAACAGAACAAGTGTGATCATTTGTTTTTGTAAAACTATGGGATTTAATCTGTGTGTAAACTCCATATTGCTTAGAGTTCACTAGATAGCATAAACTCTCATTGAATTAAGTTCTTATTGAGAGTAAACAAGACAGTCAAAAATCAGGCAAACCTAATTGTAATGATTGTCATGGACTAATTGCAAAATATCAATGAACAGATGGGGCAGGAACTCAGTGGCCTGTTGCGGGCATGCCCGCCTGTTCTCTAGTTTTCTAAAAAACTGGGATCGAGAAATTGTTTTGGCTGATATGCCTATTCCAACTGAGCTCATGAATCTCTCAAATAGCTCAATCGCTGCTTTACAACTCTTGGTCAATTATCAAACCCCACCGGATACCTTTCCTGTGAGACGTAGAGCGGCGATGATGGTACGCTGTGGAGAAAGAAGCATTGTATTATTTGTCAAGCTGAGATTATCTGGATATCCCTCAAGGCCTGTTTAGTGATTTGAACTTTTAGAGCTCGTTAATCTGATACCTTGAATCATGTAATTCAAGATGTCAGCTAATTTGCTAGCCAAAATGGTCACCTGAACGTTCTTTTGACAAAACAAAGTCCAACGATGTGTACTTATGTAAACTTCCTTCTCATGTGCTTCATAATATCAACAGCGCATTGAGATCGTTTCCACTGATCATCTCGCGCTCTGTAAAAACAGGTGAACACCCATACTGTTGAAAATACCTAGATGGTATCTATTTTTATAGACTAGGGGATGGGCGGGAATGGAGTTTTAACCCATCATGCCTGCAGCTGGCTCAACATGCCTGCACTTGGCTCAACATGCCCCTTTTGTTATTGTTTATTGTCATCATCCTATCATCATCATCATGATTCTTCACTATCCAACTTAATGGAGAATTACCAATTTGAACAAAACTGGACAAAACCGCTCAGTAACCCGGCTTGAAAAATCAAGAGTTTTAAGCAGGCAAAGTCTTGGACTCCCAACAATGACTTTCCATTTTCATATTATATACTTGGATGCTTTTCACACACATACCAAATTTTCTGTCATTTGATGATCTTTCCCAATATGGTGAATTTGTTCAACAAGCTATCCAATTTGATCCTACAACTTATTCCACAAGCCTTCTGATGTAGTTCAATGACTTCCCTTGAGAGGAAGTCCCACTTTAGGGGCCTCAAAAAGATTAATCACTTGAATCTTAAATGAAAAAGAGGAAAAAAACTCAACTACATATATGATGAAGCTTTCCAAATTCTTCTAATTGAAATACAATCACCCCCAAACATTAATCCCTGAATGGTTTTAAATTCCTTAATAAACTTGATTTTATACAAAAACTTCTCCAATTTTTTAATTGAATAAACTTGTCCATATTTTCATCTGTTGAATTTGTTCTGGAATTAAAAACAGGATCAAAGTATTTTGCAATCATCAATTTACAATGATGGATGCATGCAAAGCTCATGCTTTGAAAAGAAAAGAAAAATTCCAGTAAAAAAATCAGCTTTGCAGACATTCTTCCTTTTCAAATGCAAGCAAAAAAAGGCTTAGAAAAATTAGCACAAATTTAGTCCACAGATGATTAATTGTTGACTTGTACAGTTGCCCAATTGCAAACCTTCTAATCAGGAAATAATAAGCCGCACAGAGGCATATTTACTCAAGGCACAGCCCCAAGCTACAAGGCACTGGAATGCCAAAGACTATGAACAACTTCAAGAGGACTTCAATTTCAAGCAATCTTCAAAAAGACCTCATGCAAAATATGTTTTGGACAAAATTTCACTGTAACTTCAGCTGGATATATGATCCAGCACAAGCGAAATGGATGGATTATATGCAGGGAATCTCTGATATCAAGCAATCACATATGGGCCCAGTTCAACTTTGATTTTAAGCTGCATTACATATACTTTGGTGTTGTTCATGTCCTGAAGGGTGGGATCAAGTTTTCTTGACTACTAGTACCAATATTATCTTTTTTGAAATATCACTGTTGCATTTCTCTTTAAAAGGTTGGCTTCAGGCTACTGTTGCAAAGAAACTTGCAGAGCAATCTACCAATTTTGAATATATTTAACACATTTTTCCAGTAAAGCTAATTATATGGAGCTTTACTGATAAGACCTTGTGATTCAAAATTTCCGTAAAAGGATCTCTCAAAAAGGCTTGTTATTTTTCTCCAAAGCCTCACTTACAACAGAGCCACTATACTTTACTATACCAGTATTGGCCAATACTATAGTATAGTACCCTGAGCACCAATACTTGATTGTCCAAGTATAGTATAGTATAGTATTAGAGTCAGAATCCCAATAATCCCAATACTTTCCTGTACTTTCCTGTGTTTGAGGATATCCGGGACTACAGTCTATGAATAACCAATATGGACCAAAATGGCAACAAGATACCCTTGATTTTGTTGACTGAGACTTCAAAAATACCCCTTCACCTGTTTTTTCCAGAGTTCTCCATCTTCAAACAGATTCTGTACTCAGAAAGAGCACAGAGAGAACAGGGCCGCGTCTATATTGGTCTGAATCTTCAGAGTGAGAAGTGACCATGTAAACCACAAGTTGGCCTTTATTTGCTTGCAAAATATGTGACTCAACTACTCAGTTCTGATATTTCAACTTGATTTCAACCTCTGCAATTCACAGGAAACCTGCCAGTGACTAGTAGCTGGGGGCTGTGCTTCATCCAATATTTGTTATCAAAGATTCAACCTTGGTTCTCTGAGTTGATTCAGAAGATTTTTGTCAGCAAGGGCATAAGCTGCCTCCACTACATATCACCTTTCTTACAATGAACTTCTTACATATCAATAGACTATATACAATCAACCAATTACATGTAATACTTATTCACATACAAATAAATATACATGTAATCATCATTTGCACATATTTAGTGTGCAAACCATCTAATTCTATCTCATTTCATATTCAGTTCTTCTTTTTTCTACTAATTCTATTTGTATTTCTCTCCTTCTGTGTGATACTCAAAAGATATACATCATTCAACAAATATATTACACATGGATCCAATTGGAAGATGATCTTGCATGAATTATTTTTTAATAATCTTTCTAATAAGCACTGAGTTGGATTGGGAACACAACTTAGCAGCTGTTCCTCTAAAACTGATCTCCTTGGCATGTTGTGGCCGCCAAGGAAGGTTTCCCTAGACTTGGTTTTTCAACTGCTGATATGAGTGGTTGACCAACAGCATTCTAAAAGACAGCATAAGATGTGTGGCTATGCCGTGAGTGTCAACAGGTTTTACCCGGGATTCAAACATGGGTTTTAACAACTTCCTGAAAATGGTTTCCCAATAAAAGATGGGTTTGTGGTTTAGTAGTTCCTGATAGCCTCAAGGTCAGAAGGCACTTAAAGCAATGCACTAAAAAAACCTGCAGTGATCATGAATCTGGCGTCTGACAGGTGAATCTTGGGCCACACATTTCAGTCTGCAGGCAACTTCTTGGCCCGACCTAATCTTGGCTGCAGGAGACCACTTTGGGGCACAGCAGCCTCCAATGCTTTATGACTGTAAAAAGTGAAGGGCGGGAGGTGTCATAATCTGGCACAACGGGGCGGCAGTTGTCGTTCTGCGAGAAAAACAGCCCCGCACTCCCGTGCGAGGGTGCGACACACCCACCCCTCACCTTGTTTTGAATGTTTCCATCATCCTTACAAAGGAAGTAAGCGACCAATAGCCATTTTCGTTTAGGCCAGTCAGGATACCTGGAGTCATCAAACTGAGGTGTATTCCCACCACCACGAGGATTTTGACCGCGGTCACGTTTGTGATTTTGATTGATCTCAGGTAAAAGTTTGAATCCAATCAGATGCTCAGCAAGGGGTTCTTTGTGATTGGATGTTTAGTCCATCACCGAGTTGACCGTCTATTCAAGGTGGATGTTATCTTCAAGTCAATGTAAGATTGGGTCGTCACAGATCTTGTGAAGGGTGAAGTCGAGCCATCATCCCCGATCTCAGGTCAAAGCTGAAGTGAGATTTCTCAACATCTGGTTGGCAAACAAGTGGTCACAAAGAAATTCTGATATGAGTTCAACTCACTCCAGTAGCTGAAGATCAATCTATATTCGTATCTATCTGCAATAAATTTGAGTGCTTGCATTTTTACAAATATGTGAGGTGTCCCAGCTGAGCTGGAGTGCCACTAGCATGAGGATGGGCATCGCGGCAATTTTTTCGATTTTGATCAATCTGATGTAAAAGTTGGTACAAGGTGAAATCCAATAAGTCGCTCAAGCAATTCTCTTCAAGTTCAAACGACATCATCTGAGGAAATATATCGGTGATAGATGTGAGGATCACGCCTGCTCGATGATGTTGAATCCCTCAATGAACTTGATGGTACACTGCCACAACACAAGCATCTCAAGACTTGGGAATCATTTAGCAATGGCCCACACGCCGATAAAAGATCTACTCTTGGCCCTTCTTTGAAAGAACCATAAGGCACGTTGGTTCTTAAGCCCATGGTCAGCAGCGGAGGTATAGAGCGGTACCGGCTCAACCGGTACCAACAAAGTCAGGAATACACCACAGGGAAAATCCCAACTGTGAAAATTTTCCCTGCTCTGTATTCCACGACTCATCTACCGACAGCTGACCCTTACGTCAATTATCTCACGATAATTATTCTCGATAATAAAATTTTTAACTCATCAACTCAAGTATCTCAGGAAGTCCCACAACAGATCAAGATCTTTGACAGAAAACAATGGACGCAAGAATAGCTGGAGCAGACGCTAGAATCACGAGAGCAACATTGGGAACGTCAGGCGCACAACCAGTACCTAACTTAGAAGGCCAGAAGAGGAACCTGAGAAAGACAAGAGAGAAGACAGGAGAAACTGATGAGGAAGGAAACAGTGAGGGTGGAAGTAAGGAGAGAGGAAACAGAGAAGAAAACCAATCGAGAGAAGAAGAAGGAGGCGTGGCAGCAGGCGGCCCTAATCTTTTACCGGAATCCGATGATGACGATACCTCCTGGCAACCTACGTCAGAGGAGACAAACGAGGACAATGAGAACTCGGAAATGGCAGAGGACATGTCAGGTAAGATGCGGCCTCACCCAGATCGTTTTTGTACCCCCCCCATTTTTTCCCTCTCGTTTTCCACCTCCTTATTAAAACCCAGACAGATGGAGCATGGGGGAGGGAGACCCCAATTCGACACGTGACACTGGTTTTCCCGACATATGTGTGGTCCCTGGAAGGGCAGTAGCTTTTCCCCAGCTAGTCGAATAGGGTGGCCTAGAGGCAGTCAGATTATATTCCTCACTATACGGTGCAGTGGAAAGCAAGTGGGAAAAAGTCGCTGACTTACATTTTCCCTACGATTCCAACTCTCAGTGGTTGATGGCGACTTGACGATGACAATCCAAGCGCGCATAAACGAGCTATACCAGACAGGCAGAGGCGTAGACGGCGCGGCCTTGTTAGCTCAGTTGGTCGACACATTCACAACACGAACACCGGCAAATTCTGTCCAAAGCGGAAGTGGAAGGCAACGGGAAGAGGCACCTCAGCAACCACCGCAACCGGCTATCGCCCCACAAGCAAGGGTCCCGCACCAGCTGATCCAAGACAATTTGACGGACCTATCTGTGGACCTCAACGATCGACCAGAAGACCGTCTCCCCAAACGTCGACACTCACCATCACCAAGGGAACGAGACTCAAGACCGAGACCATCAAATGAAGGAGAAGAACAGTCAGAAGCCGAACTTGTGGAGGCGATGCTGCTGTCAGGAAAGGGGAGGATGGTGCTAGCCAACGGTGACGTGGTCAAGAATGGCCGATTGATTGTTTTGGACGACTCCGTCCAGATGGACAAATCCCTCCCGGAGTTGTCCCCGGTTTTAACAGTATATATGCAGACCTTCAAAGCATACATACCTCTGACGGTATTCGAACGGCACTTCTTAGTCCAAGACTCCAAGGGCTGGAGCACAAAGAAAGCCCCTACGACATCGAAAATACTGGAAGGCAAGGGCGTAAGGGTTTACGGTGGAGAGCCACCAATGGAAGAATTGTGTATGCAATACGAGCAATGGTTGGACGCAATGACCCTTTTTATTCGCTACGGGAGGAAAGCCGGTTGGGAAACCCAGTCCGAACGATTCGAGGGCCACAAATTGGTGGTGATGGATCTGCGAGAAAACGTGGGATGGATGGTGGCATTGCGGTACTGTCAACGAGTTCGACAGGGTCTTATGAGGGCAACTGCAGACCGGAAAATCTACAACATCACCAAAGTCCAACAAGTCATCCTCGACGAAGTTAAGCTGGTTTGCGAGAACTACGGCGAACGAGCTTATAGATCCAATCCTTACGCACCTGGCGGCCCACGCGAACACACCGACCCAGAAACCGGTTTACCAAGGGAAAACTCGATCGGTAAGAAAACGGCCTCATCATCATCATTTCACCAACAACCAGAAAACCCCGGACATTCCAGTGCATCCTACCCCACGCCGACTCGGAATGAACCTTGGCTCCCGAAAGCAGAGTACAAGGCAAAGAAAGCCGCGGAAAGACAAGCGGCGAGGGACGCGCGCAACAGGCGAGGCAGGAGCCCAGATAGGCAAGGCAGGAGCCCTGATAGGCGTGGCAGGAGCCCGGATAAGACCTATGAGAGGAAAGATGACCGGCGTAGAGATCGTAGCCGCAGTGTCGATAAAGGCTACAACGCCAAGAGATACAATAGATTTGAAAAGAGGCGCTAGTGAGTCTTAGAAATGTACCCTCCTCGGTCCCAACGCAATGACAATGAAAAGACCCACTACGTGTGGTAATTGCTGGAAAGACGCGTTACCCTGACCAGGGGTTAACACTGTGAGAACCATACCCTGACCCGAGTGAATTTCGTCCGCAGTTCCCCTCCCAGACTAGACCCAAGTCCCAGACCACTACGCCCTGAACCCATCTGCCTAGTCCCAGTCCGTAACCGAGGGACTAGCTTGACAAGTGACAGGGAAGGTAGAGGAGGGGGTACTCCGCCGCCAAGAGAAGGGAGGAGATGGCTGACTAAGATAAGATGCGAGATGAACCTTGCGGTTTGGAGAAGAGAGCTGAGTCGAGCTGGCATCCTAAACGGAAACCGGAAAATCCTCAACGGTTTCGTTCACGGTTTCGACCAGGGGATACCAGAAGAACCCGTGAAAGACCTACGTTACTTCTGCCCGTCAAACCACGCGTCAGCCTTATCGGCGAGAGCGAAGATAGAAGAGAGCTTACAAACGGAGGTGGCAGAGGGGAGGATGTACGGTCCCTTCAGTAAAGAAGAAGTACATCAAAGACTGGGGTTTTTCCGTACGAGTCCACTCGGCGCGGTAACGAACGGAGACGGCTCCCTACGGCCAATTAACGACCTGTCTTATCCGAGAAATGATTCGATAATACAATCAGTAAACGCCCGAGTAAACAGTGAAGATTTCGAGACGTCCTGGGACGATTTCAAAAAAGTGGCTCTATTCTTACTCAGTTCTGAAGGGCCAATCCTCCTAGGCATTTACGACTGGGCGCACGCATACCGACAAATACCAACTCTGATGAGCCAGTGGCCATTCCTGATGGTGCTAGACTTCGAAGAGAAGGTGTATCTAGACACTCGGATAACCTTTGGAGGCGTGGCAGGATGCGGGGTTTTTGGCCAAGTGGCGGATGCATGGAAGCTGATAATCAAAAGTCGGTTTGGTTTTTCAAAGGCCTTCCGGTGGGTTGACGACACCCTCTTCGCCAAACCAGCAGATGGGTCCAACCCACACTCAATGGCCGACGTAGTTGAATTGAGTAATGAGCTCGGAGTTGTCACAAACCCGAAGAAATGGCGAGAGTTCGATTATGAACAGAAGTACCTGGGAATGGTTTGGAACGGTCGGGATAAGACAGTTCAGATCCCAGAGGAGAAGAGGTTAGAACATCTGCAACGAATTAGACAGTTCATGAGACAGAAACGAGAATCTTACAAGGCAACAGAAAAGATAGTAGGACAGCTTTATCATATGACGATGGTCTACCCACAACTCAAATGCCACTGTATGGCCTTGTACCACTGGCTCGCAGAGTGGAAGCACCGTTTGGCTCTACGTGACATCCCCGAGGAGATTATTGAGGACTTGGGGACTTGGGAACGGGTGCTAACGACTGCAGAACCAAGGAGGTTGATCCCACGCCCAGGTGTGCGGAACGTGGGGTGGGTGGGAGACGCCTCATCCTCTTACGGCATCGGCATCATCGTAGGGAAGAAATGGTGCCGTTTTTGGCTCAGGAGAGGATGGAATGAAGCTGAATCGGACGGCTCCAAGAGGGAGATTGCATGGGCCAAAACGGTGGCCATACGTCTGGGACTATTGATGATGGAGAAGCTAATGGACATAGGTGGCTCGAACTTCCTGGTCCTAACGGATAATGTAGTGACTGAGGGGGCAGTACGGAACGGGAAATCTCGAAACAGATGGGTAAACAGGGAATGGATAAGATGCCAGGAAGAAACCTTGCGACTTAACTGTAGTATCACACAACGAAGGGTGAGTCCGAAGACAACGCCGCCGATCGGCTATCCCGCGGTTTCGACTCATCGAAACGTTTCAGAGACCTGGTAAAGATCTAAATCCCAGATGATTTGCAACGGTTCATCATACAAGAGTAACAAACCAACCACCTACATCGACCACAGCCATGCCCCCCTTGCCAAAACACTTCGAGATCGCCAAGAATAACACAAAGTCACAAGCTGGGAAACACGCAGCGATGAGCGGCTGGGCGGAAAAAACGTTAAAGGGTTACTCCAGCGGGATGACGAAATTTATAGAATTTAAAGAAAAGACTTCGGACGGTTTTGACGAGGACTCACCCATTGAAGACGAAGATATTTACAACTTCATCGCCTGGGCCGGAACGTCGAAGCTAGAGAAAGTGAACGGCCCAGATCGAGAGATTTCAGCAGTAACGATAAAGAAATATCTTGACAGCATCAGAGCCTGGCACATCGTAAAGCACGCATCACGACCGAACACAGATGGGGAGGTGATATCGGTTTTAATCAATGCGACGAAGAGGAATGAAGAAGAGACTAGTTTAGTTACAGTAAAACAGCCAATAATGATCCGGCAATTATACAAACTTTTTCGGTACTCACACGGGAAGTCGGCAGAGTTAGAACTGGTAGCAGCCGTAGCGGTTATCGCTTTCTGGGGGATGGCGCGTTTGGGGGAACTTCTAAGAGAGAAGAGGAGCGACGGAGCATTACTGAGGAAACATGTAGAGTTCGGTGAACGGAATGGTAAACGGTTCGCAGTGCTGAAATTGAGGAAAGCGAAGACGGCGAAGAGTGGAGAGGTCCAGGAGATATATCTTCAACAGCAATTCAACGTTTTAAACCCAGTAGAAGCATTGGAAAGGGTACTAGAAGCAAATACAGAAATAGACAGGGATGACTTGCTTTTTACGTGGAAGAGCCCTGATGGAATACGACCCCTATCGAAGTACAGGTTTGTAAAACTCGTAGAAGAAGTATGGGGAAAGGCCAGCATTGGCACATGGTCAGGCCACTTGTTCCGAGTAGGGGGGGCCTCAATCCGGTATAATCTGGGGACCCCAATGAAGGCGATAGCACGGCAAGGCCGGTGGAAATCCTTGACTTATCTGAGGTATTTGAAATCGTATACAGAGGTAGAAATTAGAGATACGACGAAGTTTCTGGAGGCCTTAGACGAAAGAAATACATGAAATGTTTGAGATTGTTGAAGCAGAACGGAAAGACCAAGTGAGACGTGCCGAAGACACCTGCAGGTTAAGAGAACAAATGCAGCATACAGGCGAGCAGAAGCGCCACCCGTCGATCCCTGAGCACAAGGCGCATAAGCCAAAAACTCTAATCTTAACAGACCGCGTTTTCGCCGACCTTGGGGGTTCATGCCGTGGCTTAGGACGTGTTGGGGTGAGCCTGGGAGGCTCGGCGCCAAACCCCGGCAGCCGAGTTGAGGGACCCAGATGCTCTCCAAACGTCCAAAGCGATGTAGCGATTCCATAGGAGGGTGGGCGGGGTTGAAGGCGAGGCCAACCCGAAGTTTGTTGGTTCAGCAAAACCAACAATCCGGGGCCGGGGCTTCGCCACTCGCGCAAACCCGCATTTTCTGACTGAAGTAAGAAAGTGCCTTGAGTGGGGTCTACAGATATGAGACCACAAAAGGATCAATATGACTATGATCACCATAGAACCATAGACTACTCCCCCTTACCATCCATAGCTGTAAGAGGAATGGGCCAGTCATTCAACCTCCTCATCAATTCTTACATCCCCAGTGACAAGTCTATCGGGTAAAATGCTGCTCTTTCTGCAAGTCTAAAGAAATCGAGGCCTTTTGCCTTGTCATCAAGAAGGGGACGCTTATGCTCCCCTAATATTTTGTTGCTATCGTAGATCAGTAGGCAAACCAGTTTTGATAATCAAATTTTAGAAGAATAATCCACAGGCTCACCAAGAATCAGATGGCAATCAAATTGTTTACCTTTGTCTTTGTTGCGATCGTTCTTTCGAGTAAGCGTTTAAAAATTCCGGTGTCTTACTCACCGCACATTCGAGATTTAAACCTCTACAAACCACTGATGCGCGCATTGTCGCCTTGGCAGTTGATCAAGGAGCCGTTGCCTTTCCTTTGGACCATGCCAATACGTTCGTCAGCCGACTCTGTTTGAATCGAGGAATTTTTTTCATCTTCCTTTGTCGTCTACACAGTCACAGATCATTTGAGGGTGATGTTGGATTGAATTTGAAAAGTCCGAGCATCTTGGCACGAGCTGTGAGTTCCGAATCCAGTGCGCCCCGTACTTGAGCTACAATCGGTTACTCATCATTGCCAACGCAGGCTCCCGAGAAGCCAGTGTCACTGATTGAGAGACCCGAGCGGGTCCCAGCAAGCACCCCTGCTGAGCCACTTCATAGCTGAAACAGCAAAGAACACCGTACCCTTGCTGGAAAAGCCGAAGCACGTGCAAGCAAAGAACCCTACTGATCCTATTCATCAAGTCCTCTCCTCGTTTTCCGGCGCGAGAATTGAATCAATCGAGCGATGTCAAATTTGTACGACACCTTAGATTATTTACAATCTTGTCTTGATTTTTTTGTCTTCCATTGACTTTGAATTTCTTCACCAAATACTTGGAACTGGGTTGTTCTTGTTTTTGCATCTGCTCTGAAAACCCCTCCGGTTTGTTTTCACTCACAACTCCAGAAGATTGTTACCAAAAACACAAATTTGTTCCTGAAGACAAAAAGTTCTTCAATCTCACTTTTGACTTTCCTTTGTGAATTTTTCTCAAGTGTTGACTTCATATCCTACTAGTCATGTATATGGAAATTTTGTTTCTTGAATACTGAAATTCAATTTGTGATTCTTTTATTGCTGAAAGTTTCGTGAGGTGACTCTGGGTCTGTCTACTGTTGCCTCAGGCTGAATAGATTTTTGTTCACGAGGATGACAAAGCACAAATTGATAGTCTTACTTTGAGCTTCTGCAGTGCCGTGAAATTAAAGTTGATCCTCTCAATCAATTTGATAACAATACGCTATATGCGGAGTCATCGATTGGTAAAGACAAACATCCTTTAGCGCATAGATCAACTGGGGGATGAGCATGAGATCAGGCTATGGAAGATTGGTAGGAGATTGATGCTCTCATGTTCAAAATCACGAACTTGAAACATTTTTTGGTACCAACGAAAGCATTAAGAAACAACTATCAACTACAACCACACCTTGAGCACAAATTACAAACCTAAATTTTGGGATACATACATAGTAGATTTTAGGAGGATTCAAGCTAGGTCTTACAGCCAAGTCAGGTTTGCAGATACTAGTAAAGGACGAAGGGTTAACATGAAATGAGATTGAATTGAGACATGTAAAAAGCTAAGCGAGATCTCTTAAGACTTTGTAAGATTTCAAAACATGAACTCGAATTCGAATAATGAAGATGAACAGATTGAAACAAAATTCAGGATAAAAGAACTGGGAACGAAGGTCATGGATGAAGTTTGATAAATATCAGAACTCGGTTTTATGGAAGCTTCTTGGGGAACACGAGCAGAGATATATCCATAATCAATGGCACAGTGTAATTGAAAACCGTCCTCCATAAAGCAAAAGTCAAGCAGTGCAATTCGCTTCGATCGAGTTGGAGTTGTAGCTGGCTAGAAGTACCTCCCGTATTTAAGGTAGTAGGCGATGGATTCGAAGTACAAGTCCTGGAACGAAGTAAATTTGCACCTATGTGTATCCACAGATCTTCCATGACCAAATGACAGCATTGTATGTTGTCAGACATGTTTCAAGCAAGGGGCGAAATTCGGGATCACAGTCAAATAAGATGATCTTGGAGGTGAAGCGCTGACTCACCTTTTCAGAAGGGTGTAGTAAATAGGGTAGTTCTTAACAGTCTTATCTCTGTAACGTTCTATTAACTCGGAGAAATACACCAACAAATCATCGTTGGTCATTTCCCAACGGACCTTTTTGAAAAGGCGAGCAGCATCCTCCTCCAAACGAGGTTTGACCGCATCGGGACATACATAACCTGCTAACAAGTCGAACTCAGACTTTGGTGAACACATCCAACGATTCATAGATAACCATAGCGTAGGGGATTCCAAGAACATCCTCGGGGCCTGAACCAAGCTTCCCATCGCATCTTCCGACGTTTTTTTCGGGGTGCCTGGGCGGTTTATAATCGGATGGGGCTTGTCCCGGAATATTGACCAGACTCGTCTGTTGGGCAAAGGGTCGTCTGGTCTTGTGGCCCCCTTGGAGATTACAGTTTTTGTACCAGCCGCATAGAACTGCAGCTTAGGCCTTTCGATATCCTGAAATGATCGATTTTTGCGGGTATGGTAATCTACGGCATGGTAATATTGCGCGTCATGCGGTATTTCACATAGTCGGCTACTACGCGTGATATCTCCTATCCTCGATGGAAGGCAGCCGGTCCGTGTTCTATACATTCGAGAAGCGAGCGTCCTGATAGAGTGGCCACAGTGTCAAGCTGATTCTTAATTGCCTTGAAAATCTTGGTGAAGTAGAGAGGATCAGACTTACGTATTAGAGCTGGTGGTATCGATGGTTCTGATACTATCGGAGTAGGAACCGTGATGAAACCCAAAAGATAAATGGCCAGAACCAAAATGGATCGCAGAGAGAATCGTCCTTACCTGTCTGAGTCGTTCGAGGAATTGTCCGCTACCGGTCTACTCAAAGAAAATATATGTCATAAATAGTCAGATATCTACGCTCAGAAGAATATAGAGAGACTAGGAAAGAAAGGAAGGCAAAGGCTTACACGTCGTTCAAGGAATTGCCCGCCTCTGGTCTATTCCAATACAACACATGTCATAGATAATTAGATATCCACGCTCAGAATAATATAGAGAGACTAGGAAAGATACGAAGGCAAAGGCTTACACTTCTTCCGTGTCATCAGAAGGAAGGATAATTCTCACTACTTTTCGGGGTTTGGAACGATATTTCTTGGACATATCCATCAAATCAAGAGGGTTGCTTCGTCTTTCGGGATTCATCTGCCCAATTCGTCGGGCTCGAGAATCAGGCGATTGAGTTTTGGGATCCTTGGATCTATCGGAGTAGAAAACATGACCAAAACCAAAAGTTAAGTGATCAGAACTGAAATAAATAACAGAAGAAATCGTCCTTACCTGTCTGAGTCTTCCGAGGAATTGCTCGCTCCCGGTCTACTCGAATAAAACCATGCCATACATAATCAGATGCTTACGCTCAGAGAATATACAGAGACTAAGACAGATACCAGGGCAAAGGCTTACACTCCTTTCGTGTCATCAGAAGGGGAGCTCATTGTCACTACTTTTCGGGTCTTGTAATGGAATCTCCTAGGGAAATTCATTAAATCAAGAGGGTTGCTTCGTTTTTCGGGATTCATTGGCCCAATTTGTGTGAATTGGAAATCAGGGAATAGAAGGCTGAGATCTGTCGATCTATCAGAGTAGAGAACGTGACAATCACCAAAAGATAAGTGGCCAGAACCAAAATGGTTAGCAGAGAGAATCGTCCTTACCTGTCTGAGTCGTTTGAGGAATTGCCCGCTTCCTGTCTACTCAAAGGCAAGACATGCGATAGATAGTCAGATATCTACGCTCAGAAGAATATAGAGAGACTAGGAAAGAAAGGAAGGCAAAGGCTTACACTCCTTCCGTGCCATCAGAAGGATGGTTCACTCTTACTACTTTTTGGGTCTTGTAACAATATTTCTTGAGCAAACCCATCAGATCAAGAGGGTTGGTTCGTATTTCGGGATTCATCTGTCCAATTTTTCGGGATTTAAAATCAGGGAATCGAAGAAATGAAGAAAGCTATTGTTATTTTTTGAGTTTCAGTCAAGTGGAGGAATTTGAAGTTAAGAACGGGTTATTTGTTCATGGGGCGATTTTTTAAGAACAGCCTGCTTATGACAAGCGCGTGCTAAGCTCGAGATCTCGAATATCCACCTCAGCAAAGCTCCACCTCAGCAAAGCTATCTTACATTTATTTAGCATCTGAGCCCCTTTTTTGTTTGTGAGTTCGAAGGTGTATAACTTAAGGGTGCAAATACAATCTGCCATATTTTCCATAGTAATCAATTGGATGGTAGATTTCTTAAGCTGCATGTACTTGAAACTTTGATAAACCCCAATTGATTGGAATACTCCAATAGCCGCTTCTCTCTGGAGGCCTGGCGTATGGCAATGCTTCAACTGAGCAGTTTTGAGTGATGAACATGAGATTTATGCTGTAGTATAGAATGTAGCTTAACCCTTCCTTTCACTGCTTTCATCATTCACGAAAAATGGTAGGTGTAGAGGCTGCGGAACATTGACAGGTTCAGCGACGTAAGGGAAGGATGTCGAAATTTGAAAGTAAAGAAAACCGGGCGCCACAACACAACACAACTCGAATGGGAGTTTGATTAAAGTTGAGGTTGGAGCTTATGTATCATGAGGCAAGCGTCATGTTCAACAACGAAAGCAATTCAGTAACACACAATCAGATCTATAAGTCTGAAGGCAATATATTACACCATGACCCATATCAGCTTAAAAGTTGATCTTTAATCCTCATAAGCTTCATATAAGATTAATGTATTTCTGTAACGCTCCCTGCAAGAGATAATTTATTGCAAAAGGGCAGTTTTCGAAAAGTAGAGAAAATGAAGTATAGTTGTTATCCCCTAAAACAGCAGATCTCATGATGTCATCAGTCACTGTTACTCCAAGCCCGTCTCAAAATTTGAGCCTTCCATGTTTTTTCCCTTATTAATCATAAAAACTAAGTGAAGAAATGGGTGACATGCGACCCGCAACTTCCCTATATTATTTTCCATCTCTTAGAAAAGGCTTCTCCCTTGGACGTAAACGCGTCAAATATGCATTTTCTCACTAGTTCAAGCGGCAAAGAAGTCCATGTAAACGACAATATATAATTCATTCTCACTTGATTATCAAAACGGAGAGTCTTCGGACGCCAGGGCACAGCACACCAATAGTAAGGCATGTCCCTGAGAAAAGTTCCGACAGAGGTGGGGAAGTCTCAAGAAGGCGGGTTTGTAGACTCGCGATGAACAATTATCCGACACGTAATCATCCTCACGGCGATAGCTCGCTTGACTTTTGGATTACGAATCAAGTGGTTTATCAGGAATCTCGGTATACGGATATATATACCGATCAATCAATTAGAGGTATTCATGAAAAGCTGTAAAAGTGTGACTCTGTTCCAACGAATCAAGAGCTGCAAACTACCGCACGGAAAGTAGCGCGGGTCGCAGCAAGTGGCCATTCACGGCCCCTTTCGTAAAAACTGCTGACCTTCATATGTGACATATGTGTTTTGCAATACCGTGTCCCTCAGCTTTCGATCGCAGGTGCGATGACCTATGATCATTGATCAGCACCCGGGGTAATCGATTCTTGGTTTTGGCTAACCACAGTCAAAGCCGAGTGATTATAATGCTGCTCCGATTCCATTGTTTCACATATCGTGTTCACTTGTTTATGCACAGTTTTTCTCAATCATCGTACTCTGATACATTTCCAGAGTCCTATCGAATGATTGGATGATATCCAAGTTAGTGATTTGGTTGAGATAGACACCTGCTTCAAGATAAAAATATGAATATATCAGAAGCTGTTCACGACTACTTATATGTAGCTTTTCATCTGATTTCAACAAAAATCAAGAAAAGATCGTCGATTACAACAATTAACCCAGTCAAAGCAGACTGATTATAATACTCTTTTGGTTTCATTGCTTTACGTTTCGAGTTCACTTCTTTACACAGAGGTTTTTTTAAAATCACCGGACTCGAATCCATTTCCAAGGTCCTACCAGATGATAAGATTATATCCAAGTTCTTGATTTGGTCAAGATAGACACCTGCTTCAAGATAAAAATATGAATATATCAGAAGCTGTTCACCGCTGTTCATTCCATTTTGACAAGAGGCAATAAAAGATAGTCGATCAATATAGTCGAAGTTTGGGCTGTGTTATGATGCCACCGGTCCTCACATGTTGAATCCCCAGCTTGTCGAGTCAAGGCTGATAGCTCGCAGCAACATCAACATTGGCTTTCTTGCGACTAGGTTTGAGGTAAATCAGAGCACTTCGGGCCTCATTGAGCAGTCCTACTTTGTCCGCGCGGCCACTACCTTGTCCAATGTGGTTGCAACCTCAGCCCGGCTTTTCGCATGCATACATAGCTATCCATTTGTGATACAGTGAGAGTCGAGACAACTAATCGGGTCCCTTTCACGACTCGAAACATCCCAGGTGGTATCAACCTTCGAATTGCGGCCTCTGATATCAGAACGAAAGATCCACCGAATATCAAGATATGCAGCCGTTCCGCGAGCAAGCAGGTTCGGTCTCCCCTGGCACTCGGACATCATGTCTATAAAGCTGGATTTGTCTTTTCGTAATCCTTGTTTGTTGTTTGATAGATACCAAGGCTCGAGCCCGGCACGTGATACATGGTCCACAGCTTTGAAGTTCTCAAGGTAGCGAGCTGGTTGCCTTCACTTATCTCATTGAATCAAAGGCCTGCCCAGATGCAAGGAGCCTCAAGACCAACGCAGGATATCAAGTTGCAACCAAAAGAGATCACAAACAATTGACGCTCCTCTTTTCTGCTAGTACAACTGCAAGATAACGCATGACTTTTGCTTTGACATGGCGACAGAAGGCCCTAGATAGTAAATGACCATGGGCCGACCGGGTCAAATGTGCGTACAGAGGCTTCATCGGTATATCCATCGGTAGCCAAATGTTAAAGGAGGGTGGCTAGATGCAACACGACCCGGCTCAGGAAGTCGATTTCGCTTTGCAGACGCAAACTTTTGCTGACAAGCTTGAACATCTGGTCGGGGCAGACAATGTATGCTGAGATTTGAGGTGTCGTTTTTCAGCGTGTAAAGATGTGGAACGAAAGAACGGCCACGTGTCAAAACAGGAGAAGCCCACAAAGTCATGACCGCTCGGGAAGGTTAAAGCGACCAAGATTTAAGGTGGTCTGTGCGAGCAGTTCATGTAGCTCGGTTCCTGACAGCCAAGAAGTCTCCATTCAACTTCACCAATCCCTTCCAACCATCGATTACCCATTCGTCTCACCCAGAAGTGCTTCATGCATCTCAAATGACCTATTCTGGAGCCTCAATCACATTTTGGCCTGCCCGAAGTTGCACCACCAAAGCTCGACCTCCATCATCAGTTTTCAAATCGCAGGAAACACCGCTTGCTCGTCCGCCGTATTTTTCACACCATGAACAAAGGAAACTCACGACCTCCAATGAGATCAACTCCAACGCCCGCCTCGTCTGTTTTTGCTCATTATTTGGAACTGGGTTGAGCTCTGCTGACGCATTTTTTCCGTTTGATACCACAGGGTTTGGAGGACTCGGACAAGTCGGGCAATTACTCCGTTTCCTTGTTATAGTTTGAACTCCAGCAGGCCGGAGGTCAGATACGTCTCAAACCCGAATCAAGATGCCACCCTGGACACTTTCAGCGAGCTGGATTACAATGAGGTCTTACAGGACACCCCGACGCATTCCCCAGGTAGGTTGTGATACGCCTGATTCTCCTCGCTTTCACTGACCAGCCTTTTATTTATGCTTTAGCGCTTCAATAATAAGCCTGTGCTAACCTCAAGTATAAAAACGAGATCGGCGTACATTTGCCCAGCGAAGCCGATGGCTTGGTGGCGACCCCAACTAAATCTCAAGGTAAGAATATTGTATTATCCTCTACTTTCTTTCTTCCTTGCTTTCACTAACTAGTAACCAGGCTTTTCTTTATGTTCTAGCGCTCCAATCCCAAACCGGGGCTGACTGGCTGGTAAGCACGAGATCGACCTCACTTTGTCCAGCGAGGGCGATGGAATGGAGGCTACCCCGACTAAATATCAAGGTAAGATGTTTCTCACATAATCTGATTTCAGCTTCAACTGCTAAGTGTTTTTTTACCTTTAGTCTTTCCACACTCCCCTGATCCAATCCCCAAAATGATGAACGAGATTGACCTCACTGCCACAAGCGAGCCGGATGCTATACAGGCCACCCCAAGGGATCTCGAGGTAAAATGCTTGAGATCCCATTATGTTGTAATTTCATTCTATTGTGATTTCCCAGCTAACGTTCATTTTCTCTACTGTTCCTTTTTGCTGATTCAGGGGGCCCTTATCCGTCTGATGTGACCTGTATGTGCGAGCTCAGTGTTGCTTTCACTCTTTATTTACCAAAAGGGGGAAACACGCCGAAGGAGTCATCAAAGGCTCTAGTTATTCCCCCGTACCACTCCCATCAACTCAGAAGCTGTTTGATACAGGTTTTAAAACCTTGGTCTCCCTCAAGAACTGTCTGTTTGTCATTGCCAGCGAGATTGACCCCTGCAACAATGACAGTGAGGGCATGAAGGTCATTCTGAAGTTTGCTGATGCCGGCAACCTTGTCAAGATCCTTGCGCATGTCAAAGGACATGAACAATTTGCAAAGGGCAAGTTTACCCCCTTAACTTCCAATGCCCTAGTGGTTCTCTTCTTTGCCTCTTGCTTGAGGGACAAAATGTAAGATGTGTCCATGAAAGAAGTAATGTCATAAGAATGGAATTACCAAAAGGGAATTTGATTAATTATAGATACACATTCTGCACACATGAGGGAGATGCACTAAGCAGCACAGTGCTCTGCTAATTTAAGGAGGAAGCTTACCAATTAGAAGGTCTTTCCTCCCTCCTCTTGTACCTCAACAATTTATCATCCCACTTCCATT